ATGGTAGCATACATTTGTAGTGCTTTATGCTAGCCATGTTGGCCTCAGAATGGAATCCATCACTTTTTCGATGAAAATATAGCTTTGTTCAAACATCAGTGTTGTTTTGTTTTTCATCAAATCAACTAGACTTTAGGCAAGCAACGAGTATGGACAAAGAGTAAGTTTTAGCTTCAATAAAGGCTTAGGTAGTCAAGATAAAAAAGAGTACAATGGTGCGTAAATAAAAGGATCATCGTGAGCTAGATAAGCAATATTTCATTGAGAATTGAATTCGAAGATCTGGAAGATTAGAATTCTGTAAGGTGTCTCACGAATTTCTGTAGGGCCCCTCAGGTAGCATCTTGACACTAAGCTGTAGATGATAGGAGCAGAAGCATTTCTTTATAATTCACATCTGTAAATCGCTCATTGCTTTTTCTGCTAAGGACCCAGTCTCATGTTTAATTCTTGAGCTGTCAAAAATGCATCTTGCTGTCCTACAAATCGGAGCGATTGGCATTTGTGACCACTACCATATCTGGTGGTTAGCATGCGCCACCCTCCCTCCTTTTTGGCTCTACAGGGAGTGCACTAATCGAACATCCCGTCAACACTGGTCATTCCACCCCAATAAACGCCACCCTCCAAGTGATCAATAAAGTGAAGAACAACCTACCAGAGGCCATTCGCTTTACTCTCTTTTGTATTGCGGAAGCCTTAGACATTCAGTTAAAGAATTTAGAGTTATGTAGACAGAAGGAAACCATCCAACCAATTGTACTAGCTTAAATAATGATAATATATTCTCATTTTTGTACATGAGGGACGCCAGTTTGCAGCCATCATCAATTCGATAAATAGCACATTCGATTAGTAAGCATATTTAGTAAAGGTAATATAATAAGGTACATATTTTTTCCTAGCTATGTAGGATACAGCAGTTGTATAGGTATGCATAAGTATTGTTTAAAAAACATATTTAAATTACGTTATTTACGGTTGCTAGATCAGCTCTTTAATCTTTTGTTAGTGTCAGCATCAATTTCCGGCCACCAGCATGTTAGGCGTGCTCATAAATAATTAAATTTATTCTCATAATACAGTACATGAGTGACGCCAGTTTACAGGCATCATCGAATTGTTACAGAAATAGAACCATATAATTCAGTCACAATTTACAGGCGGTAGCAAGATATGCTGTACATGTACGCTGGAGATTATACATACACTTGATAAATGTTAATCCCAGTAGTATAAAACAGCCTTTTCACTAATATGCAATCATTTCTATGCACAGTTGGAAAGATCTGCTAGATTGTTAGTGAGTGCTACACATCAGGAAATACAGAAGTATTGTCTTCGCATTAACAAAAAAAGCAGGTCTTTGGTGGATGAGATGACCGAACTACAAGAATCCAAACAAAACACAGAGAGGGCAGAATTCAGGAATTTGAATTTAGCGGAATTATTCTGCAATTCATATAAGAAACATATTAACAATCAACAGTAAGTATTGAAACAATACAGAGATAGAAATTGTCAATCACCACATCCACTTAGTGTGTTGGGTAGAAGTTTTACAAACGAAATTTCTTGTCTGTTTGAGGGTAAGTATCTTAATCGTTAATGTTTTATTTAAAATTATATATATATATATATAGGCAAAAACAGGTGTAGTATTTGAGCTTATACATTAAATGGACCTATAATTTCGGGGGCTCTCAGATAGGAACTAGAACTACTATCGTTTGCAAACTCTTGTAGTTTGTCATTAGGCACCTTTTCGAAGGAGGCCAATGTACTTGCTTGACGCATTTCCATTGGTAGTTTATTCCATATGCGTGCACACCTAATCAAGTAAAACTTTTGCCTGGTGGCTGTTTTACATTGTTCGATAGCAACTGTACCCTTAGTGTGTCTTAGTTTGTAGCCATTCGACTTTCAATTTGTCCTCCATGCGTATATCACTATGCATGAATGAATAGTAATCAAATAAAGGACGCACACAAACCATGTACAACAGAATTCTAGACTCATTTCTGTAGAAGTTCGTGAGTAGAAAGCCGATAAGTCTGCGTGACTTTGACACTTGTTTGGAGATATGTTCAGAAAATGATAAGTCATGTGAGTATTTCAGCCATAGGTCCAATACAGCAGACCAATCCAGATTCCAGAGCCAGCCACATTTGTCGACATTAAACTGGAGTTGCCAGGTGTCACATCATCTATCCATTTTTTCTAATTCTTGCTGTATGACGTTTACTGTTATTCCAAGATCTGTGTTCTTGCATTTATAGGTCACTTTTAAGTCATCTGCATATAGTATTGATTTACCAACACTAAAGCATTCACAGATACTGTTTATATATATGTATGAATAGCAGTGGGCCTAATACACTTCCCTGGATTACACCACTACTTACTGGTTTAGGCCTTGAGATTATCGAGCCAACTTTCGTTATCTGACTTCGGTCACAGAGAAATGATTTTATCCAGCTCAGGAGAGGGTCACATATCCCCAGTGAGGATAACCTGCTAACTAGCAGATTATGGGGGACTCTATCGAAGGCTTTTGTTATATCGAAATATAGCACAATTACTAGTTCTCTGTTGTCCCTACTTCGTGTAATTTCGTTGAAAAAGTCTATGTGACAGGTCACACATGATCTCTTTTTGAGGAATCCGTGTTGTGATGGATTGGTAAGTTCATGTTCTAGTAAGTTGCCTGACACTTGGTCTTTAACCACTTTCTCCATTATTCGTGATATTACCGGTGTTATATTGATAGGTCTATAGTTGCATGCACTGGTTTTGGCCTCTGCTTTGTGCTTAGGTAATATCTATGTGGTTTTCCCACTTCAGGATAAGTTTCAGTTTCCAGTAAGAGAGTAAATATTCTAAGTAACAAGACTACCATTTCCGTGCCACAATCTTTGTATATGATAGATGGTATGTCGTCTGTTCCAGTACTGCCATTTGACTTCAATGTCTTAATCGCTGAGTCTATATTTTGCATATTAAAGTCTATTTCGCCTAATTTGTGGTTACTTTTGCAGGTCATTTGGAAATTTGGGGTCGGGTGCACTCTGGTGTAATTGCAAAACCACTCACTAAGGAGTTCACCTATAACCTGGGGATCGTTGTATATTATACCCTTATGTTCCAAGCTGCTTATTATTATTGTCTTTACTGCTTTTTAGACGTCTCTGCAATATCCTACAAAGTCCCTGAGTTTTGGTGTTACCCATAAGCGCTTTATTATCGTATTATTATTATTATTATCAAGTTGTGACATCATTGTGTGTTTCTCTTCAAGCAGTTTAAGAGTTTCATGTATTTGGTTTAACGCATTAAATTCCTCAAATACATGATATTCCCTTTCCAATCTCTTTAGTTTTAGTCTTGTTTTGCGGTCAATAAATGTAGTTGGTGTCTTTAGAGCAGATTTTAGGGGCGCGATTATGTCTCTTGCTGCACCAATTGTTTTGTAGAAAATCTCAAGTGATACTTCTAAGTTATTGGTGATGAAGTATTCTTCCCAGTCAGAACTTCTCAACAGATCTGTTAGGAATTCCCAGTCAGCATTCTTATAGTCCGTATATTGATAATGCACCGGGGAATTTTCGGGTGTGTATTTAGTTGTTAGTTGGAGGAGTAGCGTGCAGTGCAATATGTTGTGATCACTGTTATCGAGTTTATTTTCCACCTCTATCGAAATGGGCTCTATTTTGTGACAGAGGATTAAGTCAAGAGTATTTTTGTTTCTTGTAGGGAGGCGTAAGCATTGCTTCCATCCTCCTACGTCTATAGCTTGTAGTGGCTCGTCATGGATTCTAGGTCCTGTACAGGTATCCCAGTTTACTCCAGGTAAGTTGAAATCGCCACATACTACTTTGTAGTCGAAATCCAGCGTAGCTACATGCTCTAGTATTTCTCCAATAGTTATATCAGTCATTTCAGGGCTATTATCGGGTCTGTATATACATCCCACGAGAATTTTATTTTCGTTTGTGTGGATGCTTATCCACTTAGATTCTGAGAGTTTGTCAGTAGTTGGGTTATCGAAAGTATTGGACTTAGTGGATTTAGAGCCATATATTAAGCAACCGCCTCCTCTTTTGTCAACTCTATCGTTCCTATAGATGTCGTAGTTGTCTATTACTAGCTTTGTGTCAGGTATATCAGTAGTAAGCCAGGTTTCAGTCACCGTTATTAGTGTTGGCCGTTCTATGTATGCCAGGCAGCGAAGCGTTGTTATTTTATTAAGGAGAGATCTAGCTAGCATTGTTAGTGAACCAGAGTTGTTGGAGGAGAGGTTAACATGGTTACTTGTTACTATCCCTACGTTATGTTTGGAGGGGCTGTGAGTTGAGACAGAGTCAGTGTGTGTACTATTTCCTGGATGAATTGTGCAGCGAGTGGGGCTATTGTTTGCTGCAGCCGAAAATAATCCTGTTGCATATTTTGACTTAGCATCCATGTGTTGGCATCTGCGTTCATTTCCTGGTGATATATGGCCTGCCTTGCAATTTGCGTTGTAGTTTGCTGGACCCAGGTACCCTGTGTTAAGATTACCTTGGTAGTTGTGCCTCATGGGGCTTTCATAGTCGTATGCATATTGGCTTACATCAGGTGTGTGAGTGAAGTTATTAAGGGGATCAAGTGTCGATCTATACTCATTATGTTGATGAGGTTTAACATAGATAGTGCGAGAGTTTGGACAAGAATTTTCGTTAATATGGTGCCTATATGAGTCCCGTTTAGTGCTCCATATATCCTGAGGATCCATTCTACGTTGCATTCCCAAGTTATGTGCGTTGCTAGGCATGTTACCCTAGTTCGGGAAGGGGTATTCTTACTCACATGCTGCGTGACGTTTTTGGGAATGTGCTTCGTTACCCATGCATTGTCATTTTTTAGACTGACATGCTGCTTATTAGACTCATTACGAGGGAGGTATGTCGAAGACTGGAGTGGGACTCTGTGGTCTTTCTTGCAGTTTCTACTGCGGGACTCTCTGGCTTGGATCCAGATTGAGTGTGGTCTGCCAGTGGTCTCTGGTCAGCCATAGTTTGTGCGTCTATGTCAACCTCATGTAGGTAAGCAGGTTTTCGAGATGTGCTTTCATGTACTCTAAGATTGCACCCAGTGACACTGCTCTTACTGAGTTTCGGGTCGCTTTTACTTGCCGTTTATTCTCCCAACGCTATACAGGTGACTAGCTGTGCTTCAGTGTCCATCGACACTTCAGCACTCATACCAGATGTATTTCTCAGTGTAGTCAACTTTGCTTGCTTTTGGTTAGGTGTTTTATCTGAGATTACTTTAATAGTCTTGAATTTAGTGGCAGTAGCCAGAAGATCTTCGGCCATCTTAAATCGTTCAGCTATTATGTAGCTGTCGAACCTAAAGAGTATTGGACAAGGATGCTTTAGGTCTTTTATACTTAGGCGAATGCACTGACAAGGTGCACTCAAGAGATTTGCAGCCTTCAGCAATGAGTGGTGGACTGACTTTATGGGCTCGCTATCCGATACATTATACATTTTAGCGTTTTGTTTTGAAGCCAGCCTTTTAACAACTTCGCTGGATAGAAAGTCGATGGCGTTTTCTAACTCAATCGTACTTTTTGAATCAGTATGAGTCATTCTAGAAGTCATATTAAAAAGCTTTAGGATTGTAGGATCCTGCAGTTCCTTTTTCATATGTGAGATAGTTTCGGGTATACATTCTAGTGAACTTAATTTCGTTTTTAATTCATCTATCTGTAGCTGCATCTCTTTAATTATGCATGTTAAGTAAGAAAGCTCTACCTTTTCAGACAGAACATCTTCCACCTGTATTACAGGGGTCTGAGTTATGTTCGAGTCTTTCATGTTGGGTGAACTACTTATAATAAGGGATGGTAAAGTGTTATTAGACGAATAGGTGCTATTTTCTAAATTACTGGTGTTTATACGAACACGCTTTTTAGAATTTTGAACCATCGTTATTAAAGATCAATTAATAGTAACCAATAAATGAATATAAAAAAAACACGTGCAAAAGCGTCACATGACCAACAGTGTTGACTTCTACTGACTCGATGTTTGTGCGCTTGTCTTTTTCTAACTCCTAATAACATTTGTGATTTTAGGCCTCTTACATTATTTCACAGTTTCCTTTGTTCCTATTCACATCCTAATCACAACTCACTCTTGAACTATTCGCCTCATAACTGAATCGTATTACGCCTATTTGACTGCATTTATTTATTTATTTTTTTATTTATTTTTGATTACAGCTTGATTATATGTTGATTAACATTAACGACTACCTATTTCGACATTATATCACTCACACTTGAGCTAATTTTAAGGTTGTGCAAAACATGCGTTAGTCCATACCTTGAAGTGCATAATATCATTGCACTTGGACTGCTTAGAATAGACGCCAACTTCTTGGAGAGAGTCCAAAAGCGGGCGACAAAAGGAGTGGTTGGTCACCGAAATAAACCATATTATGAAAGACTGCAGAAATTAGGCCCTAGCTACTACCGGCTTAGGGGGATTTGATTACTGCCTACAAGATAACAGATGACTAGAATCAACCAAACAGAGGTGTTGTGACATTGGATGGGTAAAGACTTCCTCGTGGGAACTCCAGAAGGATAGGTCATCAGAATGCAAAGACCCGGGTGCGCTCCCACTTCTTTTCACTGCCGGTTTGCCGTCCCTGGAGCTCCTTACCGGCAGATGTAGCTACGGCACCGTCCGTGGACACCTTTAGCTGAGACTGGACAATCGTGAAGCAGCACAAGCAATGAGTCCAAATGGCCCATCCCCTTAAAATCACATACAATTATATTCGTCGTTTCACTTCTTTACATTCTCTCCCATCTTGCTCTCCTGACTACTTCAACTACTACACTTACACTTATTATTATCGCTGATATCACATACATACACATACTTACATATATATTTCAACTTCAAATTTAGTTGACTGTCTGTTTTCATGTTTTCTTTATTTCTTTTTCTGCCTTTTAGTCTGAATAATCTACACTAATTATATCTGTTGTCATTGTTATTATTATTATCTCTTTTCTTCTGACGACGATACCGGAGGACTAACTGGTGAAAGGACCAACTGCATTTACAGTAGTCTTAACACACCACATACTAAACACATATCTGTGTTCGACAGCTGTGCTCACTCTGAAGAAGCTTGGAAAAATATCCAGTCAGCCATAGATACACCTGTAAAAGCTGTGAATAAGGTAAACCCAAAGGTGAGTAAAAACCACTGGATCTCCACCGCCTCATCCGAACTGATGGATGCCAGAAGACTTATTCCGCGAGCTCCGAATTCAATGAGGAGCGAAAGCTGCACAAGAGGAAACTTACGGAAAGTCTCCGCAAGGACCATGAACAGTGGTGGCTGACAAAAGCCAAAGAGATGGAGAAGGCTTCGAGGATAGGCAACACTAGGCAACTGTTTAGACTCATCAGGGAAACGGGTGGGAGAAGACAAATCATCAGTGAAACAATCTCGGAAAAAAATGGCACTCTAATTAGCTCCCAGGTTAGACGACTGGATCGTTGGAAAGAGCATTATGAGGAGCAGTTTAATTGGCCCACAGCCACGCTCAACCTTCCGATCATCCAACACCTCCCTGAATGGGATATAAACACAGGTCCTCCATCCCTAACTGAGGTTACTAAAGCTGTCACCAATCTGAAACTAGGCAAAGCAGCAACACCTGATGGAATCACTCCAGAGGTATTTAAGTACGGTGGAGACAGCTTACTGTCTGCATTAACTGAGGTACTAGGCAGCGTCTGGGAATCGGAAGAAGTCCCATCGGGTTGGTGTAAGTCACTGATTATCCCCATATACAAGAAGGGAGACAAGTCTTCCTGTGATAATCACAGAGGGATAAGCTTGACTAATATAGTATCTAAAGTCTTAGGCTCAATAATCATGCGTAGACTGAGTGGTGCTCGGGAGGCACAAACACGAGAGAGCCAGGCAGGCTTTAGACCAGGAAGAGGGTGTATTGATCATATCTTCACCCTCCGACAGATTCTAGAACATAGGCATTCCTACCGGCGCCCAACAGTCATTATATTTCTTGACCTAAAGGCAGCATTCGACTCTGTCGATCGAGAAGTTCTCTGGAGATGCTTGGCTGTAAAGGAGATTCCGAGAAAATATATTTCACTGATTAAGGCACTCTACTCGTACTCATACAGCCAGGTGAGGGCTTACGGCGAGCTGTCATCTGAACTGATGACGACCAGTGGTGTCCATCAAGGATGCCCATTATCTCCTTTTCTATTCAACTTCATCATAGATGCGTTAATGGACTTAACCCTAGGTGACTTCAGCGACTCAGGGATGGACTTGCTACCGGGGAATAATCTCGTTGACTTGGAATATGCAGACGATATAGTCCTTCTAGGCGAAGACGCTGACGAAATGCAGAGCCTTCTAAACACCTTGAGCCGCAATCTACGAATGTTTGGCATGCGATTCGCTCCCGCCGAATGCAAGATGATGATACAGGACTGGACTACATCGACGCCTAGTTTAAAAATAGGAAGTGAAGTGGTAGAGCACGTTGACCGCTTCACTTATTTGGGAAGTACCATCAGCCAGTGCCAACGGGTTGATCTCTGACGAAATCTCAGCACGAATACAGGGGGCTCGTTTCGCATTTGCCAGTTTACGCCGACTCTGGCGTAGACGAGATGTTTGACTATCGACCAAAGGGCGGGTGTACTGCTCATCAGTCCGCTCCGTCCTCCTTTATGGCTGTGAGACCTGGCCACTGAGAGTGGAAGACATGAAAAGACTAGCTGTCTTTGATCATAGGTGCTTTCGCTCTATTTCCCGTGTGAATTGGCATAATAAGGTGAGCAACATTGAGGTTAGGTGTCGAGTTCTAGGTAAACAGGGGAAATCAATCGACGAAGTCGTGAAGTTGCATCGACTGAGATGGTTAGGACATGTGTTACGTATGCCAAGCCATCGCCTCCCTCGACGAGCAATGTTAGCGGATATAGGGTCAGGCTGGAAAAAAGCTAGCGGCGGTCAAACAAAAACTTGGCACCAGTCAATGAAATCCACAACAGTTGGTCTAAGCCACGTAGGAAGGTGTAGACTTCCAGGCTGGGGTCCTCGGGACGGTAAAAATCTATGGTTGGAAACAATTGGTGGCGTGGCTCAAAATCGTTCTCAGTGGCGCAGATGCATCCACTCCTTGTGAAACTGTTTTGTTTTTCTTTATTACTCCTTTGTCTCACACCTCTGCTCACTGTTTCTATTATGCTTTTCTTGTACTTTCTTCTCTTGCTTCGCGTGCTACACGGAGTGTGGCGACTTGAACTGGCGCACATTTGTGCAAAGTTCTATGTCGAAAACAGACAGACAGATTACTATTATTATTGATATGTTGTCTAATCGTTATGAGACAACTGTTATTTCCCCCTGTACCCCCGTAGAAGTACGCACATTCACGACAATTGACTAGCCAGATTACATGAGCACTTGAATCAATTTATCCTTGTTAATATTGTTAATATTATTATTTTTATTGTTGTGATCACCTCGATTGTTAACCCCCGATTCACATGCCTAAATTTTAATTCTATTAACCACATTATGTTCAAATGTGTTTTATTATGTAGTTGTAAAGCCTGATGAGAAATTGCCGAGAATACATATTTACTTAAATTGCGTCCTACAATTGTCATCCTTGGGATATTTAGGTTATTTACTGTTCAGTAGATTTACTATTACTTGTGAGATCGATGGCTTAGTTTAGCTTGCATAGTAGGGCTTTTTCAGGTGCATAGACACACACACACACAAACACTGGAAGAATACTACTCACTTGAGTGATGTCTTGGTCGTGATTTACTCTTGTTTATAATCATAACCAAATGTAGCTCTACATTTTCTCGGGTTTTGTAATTCTCGCTCTTCCTTCGCATTATTCGTAGGGGTAATAGTAGAACTTTCTTGATGTCCGGATGAACGACTGGTGTTGATTCATTCAAATATGATGATTTATTCTTATTGTATGTATGACTGGATAAATATGGCTTCAGTTATCGATGTCTATCTTCTGCCATCCTATGCTGTGGTGGTGTGTAACTATATACAGTTGTTTTCTGGATTTCGTATCTTGGGGTAGGTGAGACAGATAAAGCATTAGTGTTGGTTGACCGCAGCACCCGTGGGTCGACTGCTTGAATTCGGTTAAACACACATATGGCTTGTTTGAAGTTGTGAAATTTGTAAAAAGGTTTTAAAGGTGGCCAGGTAATCCGGGATGTAGAATTTTCAGGGCGACCTTTTCTAAGCTACACCCCTCCACTGAAGATAGAAGAGACAGCATTCCTGGATTCCTGGTCATCTGAAGTAAACAGCTTACTCCTGTTACATACCCGTATTCGCCAGCAGTCCGACTTCGCCCACAGATCACCAGCATAATTTAGACGAATCACACTTAGTGACGGTGACTGCCTTTGGTGTATGTGCTATCCAAACGAGGTTTCTTGTATATAGTGGGGCCTACAGGGAAATTAGTTCCAGCTGGTCTATTTATTGCTCGTAGGGTCATTGTGATGTGTGATGCTGACCAGCTGTCAGTCGTGATGTCTGTGTGAAACTAAGCCTAGCCTAAACGTTAACCTTAACCCCAGACATTAGAAGTGGATAAGTTGGATATGCAAAAAACTCTTGAAGCTAACCCTACACTGTGTTGATGACTAGTGTAAGATGATTGTTGTTTACTCGACTTCATTTTTGGTGGCTGGTATAGTTTATCCTCACTCGTAGTGTGTTACATTCTGATTTAGCGAGTTCTATTCCCGAATTGTTGATATTCTTTCGTAAGATTTCAGAGGTTCCCTGTTCGAATTTGCATAGGTGGCACTAGTAGTGTTTTGAATTCCCTCTTCTTGGTGTATTGTCAGTATACGTGTCTCGACTATGGATTGTCGTATTTTGATAATCTCCCACATGCTTCCTGTCATAGGTTTCCTTGTGTGCTATTTAGCTTGTTTTTCCCTATAATTTGAACATTTTTGCAATAAATCTTATAGAAAACTGAGTATCAGAGTTACCTAGTTACGAGTTGGATGTGATTTTTGAGGGGAATGTGAATATGTCGTATGTTTTTTTTACAGTATTCGTCAATGGATCTGTGTGGCTCATTGGTTTAGGCTATTGACTACTAACCAATGGTTCACGGGCTCTCGTCCGCACTCCACCAACTGAGAGTGGTTTGGACAGCCGGGTGTTAGTGTCATTAGCCCTGACACATTGAAACTGGTGCCTATCCCTACAGGAAGCCATAATCTAAGTAACACTGGTAATCAATTATTGATTGTTGTGGTGAACATCCCTCCATTGTTCATCCCCTACGGGCATCCATCTTTTAATTTGTACAACTGGTGTTGTAAAATGTCACAATTATTTGGGACGAAGAAGTCTTCTGACGTAAGTTTTTCACGCTTTAGTGTTTTCTGTTAAGTGTGTGATCACTTTTGAGCGCTTGCTTTTATCTTCTGAAGTGTGATGATGTCGTAATTGTGGTTGTTACTGACCTGTATCTACCTACTGAATCATAGGTACTTTGGCTACTGTGGTTTTGAATAGGCTGGTAATACCGGTTCGGTCGAATTGACAAATTGATTGAAATAGCTTATTTTGGAATGGAAATAGTCTGCAGAAAGATTGACGATTCTTTTCATTTCATATCAATGTGGAGCTGATAACGAGGAACTACTTGGAATGAGGAATGTTTCCTCGCTCAGTTTGTCGTCATTTGTATTGATTTTGTCACAATATTAGTAGACTCTTGAGTGACATTTGAATAACTGGGGAAGGCGAGTGGGGCGTTATTCCGAGTCGTCGGTGACATGGAGGTGGGGCTGGAGGGGTGGAGATTATACTAGGTGGAAATGAAAATTGTGAGCAACGGTTGTACCAAATTGGATTGATAGCTGAGATCATAGTCCGAAGGGAATGTCATACTGATAGACGGCTCCCTATGTTTCACTAGGAACGCAACTAACGAATAACAATAATAATAGTAATAATAATAATAATGATCACAATACCAATGTAACGGGTTTCTAGTGAATAGATAAAACTTTTAAATTTCATGGCTCTCTTCGTTTAAATCTTAGCTTTTCAACTGGTTAACCAGGAGACTGTTTGCTTAGAATACACCTGTGAATGAAAGTCTCGTATAAACTGACTGCAAAGTCGTAATTTCATCCTTGTGTTGCCTCTTTTTCACACACATGTTAAATGATTACCGTTATTACTGCTGCTGTTATTATTGTTGTTATTATTATTATTACGATGATGATGATGATGATTTAGGTGTTGGCGTATACAAGTACACAGAATCTATCGACACTTCCACTCCCAGATGCTGTTCAGTTGAGTTCATTACGTATACCAGGTACTGGTGAAGTATGGAGTCCACGGTCGGGTAGTATAGCGTTGTTAAATGATAAAGACTGCACCGAATCAGGATGATGTAGTGGAAGTGTTCATGATGATGGAGGATTTGGTGATGAGGTGTTTATGGCTAATGAATCAAATGTTTTAACAAGAAATCTTCGTAAACGATCAAAAAAGCGTGTTAAAAAGAGCACGGCATTGGAATTACCAACTCCTCGTGAAGGTAGGTGTTTGAACTCTCTTCTCTTTTGTGTTTGTGGACCGACTTTGATTGTTATATGAACGAGTGAATAGGATTTGAGGGTCTGTGTGGAACGCCTTGCAATGGTTTGGTTGTTCAACTCTGTTCACGAGATAAGTCATTTGGTGTTGCTACTGGTGTGTGTGTATGTGTATGTGTGGGGGAGAGAGAGAGGTGATGATGTTACCCAGTTCCACAGGCTTTTGAAGTAGGTAGACCTGGATTCTCAGTCGGGATCCCATTAGATGAAAGATGAGTGTTAAGCCGTTGAACTACTTTGTTCTGGTGAGACATTGTTGTGAAATGATCAAGGTCTGTAGAGTAAAACTCGGAACAACAGATGTAAGCGAACACTATACGAACATAAATGTTTGCAAATAAATAGATTGTAAAGTCAATGTGTCACTGAAGATTTCTCTGAGTGTAGAAAACGAAAGCATTCTAGTTGATTCACCACATCGCATGGTATCTCGAAACCCAATCCCATCGAACCTTTACGGTGGGCTCCGTATTGATGTATTGCATGTAGCTGAGAAGATTTGCATTTGATGTAATAAGGCTAAACTATGCATTCAGACGAAATTCGTCTGAAAAACTTTCAAAAGCAAAGGCGACTTACATGAACTGTTTAGTCCGCATGGTTCCACTATCATAGATGCCACAGAAGTTGAAGTTAAATCGAATGTTGGGTTCCTTGGACTGTGTATTTCCTCTGATCACCTTTCCTGGTCTTCTCAAATGATGTTATTTTCCAGATAGAAATTTCGTTTGACTTTCTTCTGCGTGAGGAAGAAGTTCGGACGATCTGGTATCATTCCGTCCCTACTTTCTGAATCTGTTAATTTCTGTGGTCTGCCTACCCTTCTTTACTGTCCCCATTAAATCTTTCTTGGGGTAGTTTAGAAAGACGTTTTTGTAATACTGTGAAGGGCACTAGAAGCCGTCAGTAGGGCGGGTTGGGTGTCGGTAAACCAACTCGTTAATACTATTGTGGATAACTACATGGACTCCTGCAAGAAATTAGCAAATATATCTTGTCAGTGAGCATCCTCTGTATACACAGCTGTATCTTTTCATCTCATTGGGTAGAACTAGAAGCAACTATAGAAGACTGTGTACTCGGACGAATTAGTGCAAAACCTCTCCAATACCTTATTTAGCTCACATGTTATGTGATGAGAAAGGTTTCAGGTAGGAGATGATCAACTTATTGCGGAACTCTAAGTAAATGGCCCTATCTTTCATATATGCCATAAACTCAAGAAATAGCACCATGGAGGTTGGCAGCGTGCTTTAAAATCTACACCCATACATGAGACCACTGTTCCGGTTATCATTAGTACCAACTGCCGGTCCCTGCCTAAAGAAATTCTGTATTTTCAGTCCCTGTTGTCGTCCGGAATTTACCACAATACTGGTATTGTCACTCTACAAGAAACTTGGCTCCATGACTCACATGATGACAATATTGTGTCTCTAAATAATTTTAATGTATTCCGACAAGACCGTGTTTGTTCAAAGAAAAAATGTGGCGGAGGTGTTGCAACTTTTATTCGCTCAAAATGGTCCATTTCTAACAATGTTTGTTTCAAATTCTCGAATGACTACATTGATTGCATCACTGTGAGATGTCACCCGAAACACCTGTCAAAATACAAATTAATTTATATTTCTAATGTTTATGTCTCTCCTGGCTGTACCATATCGGATTTATCTATGTTCGCTGATGAGTTCACCGCTTTTGCTGCAGCTTGCTTCGAGAACTCTTTATCAATAGTAACTGGTGATTTTAATTCATGCGATCACTCCTTCCTTATATCACTTGGTCATGACAATATTGTTAACTTTGCTACCCGTATAGGTAAAACACTGAATCTAGTATTTATCAATGAGGTTGGCATATATGAAGCTCGCAAACGTACTCCTTTACTTAACTCTGACCACTGCATCATACGTGTACTGCCTAAGATATATTCCAATTCACACAAAGGTGTCCTCTCTCACCTCTACAGTAAAGTTCAACGGAGATGCTACTCACAAGACAACCTAGACAAACTCAGATGCATGGTGAAAGACACTAACTGGGACTTATTTACAGAACAAACATTAAATGACACAATCACAAACACTACTGATTATCTTAAATTCTGTTTTGAAATATGTTGTCCTAAAGAAACATTATTCATTCGATTTGATCGCTTCTCTTCGCCATATCTCAAAAAGCTACGTAGAGATAAAGAACTGTTGTTCAAAACTAATGATAAGCCTGGTGTAAAAAAGTTAAACTTGCTGATAAAACTGGAAATGAAAAGACTAAATGTTTTATATAATCAAAGATTTTTGTCATGTAAAATGGCCCTATCTTTTTCATTGTTAAGTGGTTGTTAATATTTTCACTTAATTTTATATTCATTTTCTTATTGAACAGTGTTATCGAAGTAAAAACCCTGTTTTGATTATTACTCCTGTAATGAGAAGGTTAGATGCAATACTGTACCACAAACTGAAAATTTCCTTATATGTACGATGCCTATTATCCCCATTTGTATTCAACTTCATCATAGATGTACTAATGGACTTAACCCTAACTCACTTCAGCGACTCAGGCCTGACTTGCTACCAGGGAATAATCTCGTTGACTTAGAATATACAGAAGATATAGTCCTTCTAGGTGAGGACGCTGACAAAATGCAGAGTCTTCAACTGTGAAGTTAGTGGGATATGCTAGCTTGTGAACTATAAGAATACCATATGTTGTACTGAGGTTGTTAGTTTTTGGCGTCAGCTGATACTAGAGATACGAGAGAATAGTGGATGAGTTACATTAATACATTTTGTTTAAGTGAGATTCGCAATTTGCAAATTACATGTATTACAAGTTCTCCCAAGTAGCTAGCTAGTCCTCCAGCCAGAATTTCAGTGGTTTGAGGAGACTCCGAACTAGAAAAGTAGCAGGTACGCTGTTGATGTGGTCGGGCCGGCCGGCTGATGAGAGGGATAAACGTCTTTCCAGTGTGTGATTAGAATGGTCACATTGATCTAACTGGCTACCTAGCTAGCTGGCAAGGAATCAAGTACTACTCATATGAGTATTTTATGCAGCGTCATACTCAGTCAGTGTTCTTGTTTATTGTGTTTGTTATACATACATATTTTTGATAGTTGGGGCATATTTGTCAAAGATGGTGCAGATAAGAACGAATTTATCTATGAATATTGTGGTGAGATCATTAGTCAAGACGAAGCTGATCGACGTGGTAAGTCCTCAAAATTTCTCTGTTTGTTATTCCTCTTGTTATTACTGATCACTAATAAATGATGAATAAATTAATAAATAACTCAGTAAATGAAAGTGATAATTTGAAATAAAAGTAGGTTATTATGTTGTTATTATTATTATTCCCTTGTCTTCCGGATGGAACATAGAGCTCCAGCAACAGCAGATCTCCAGCTCACGTCGTCCTCTTCAGTCTTTCTTTAGGTGACTCCACAATTGATCCTAAGCTTTCATTCCTTCCGCCTTGCATGGTCTCCTTGATGTACCGTCGAACGCCGAGCCGTCTTTTCCCATTTGGGTCTGACTTGAGTGATGGTGGTGTGATTGGCGCTCATTTCACGGTCTTCTGAGTGCGTATGTCCAGTCCATCCGCGTTTTCTTCTGCATATTTGTTGTCCAGTAGGTTGTTGGTTGGTTCGTTACCTTTCCTTTCTGATCGTCCACCTTATGTTGAGTATCGAGTCAGTGGGAGTAGCGAATGATTTTGAAGTATTCGTCAGTTGTGGTGTTATTCAAGCTCCACTTAGTTGAATACAGCTCAGCGAAATCGTTCTGAGTGTTGGAACATAAAAAGAAGTCGATTGTGAGTTATTTCTTGGTTGGGTATGTGGCCTTCTTACGGGGTTGGCCGAAAGGAACAATTAGAGACGTCGTTAATTTTAATTCGACCACTCCTAACTCTTTTCTAATCTAATTGTATGTTAGCTAGCATTGCACTATAACGAAGGCATTGATTCAGCATACATGGCATGTATCCTAGCCATGAGAATCCCTGTAGCTCCATAAGGTGTTCATCGATTGATTTTCCATCCTCAGCTGACACCCATACCTGGCGTCAGTAGTATTACCATGTTAGAATGCAAAGATGTAAGGGCAAAGATAGCTGGCTTATGACATGTCTTCCATTTAAAGAAGGCTTCATGAAGTGATGGTACTCCTAGTGTCACGCAGTTAGTACTGATATGACAATGATAATAACATTTGTGATGTGTGGATTTGCGATGTAACGACGCCACAGCGATCCGTGTTAATTGTTTTCTTCGAAGTGGTCAGCAACAGCATTAGTAGTAGTGGTAGTAATAGTAGCAGCAGCAGCAGTAGGACGCTGTTGATATCCATAGTAACTTTCGCCGCAGACAGCTTTTTCTTCGTTGACAAGGTCAATGTGGAAAAGTAACTAAATAACATTGCAGTAATTCAGCAGTGCATAATCGTCGTAGCGATCGATGCTTTGCACTTGTAATACTGTGTTAATCTTCTTCGTCTCTCAACAAGAAAGATTTATGATAAAACAATGAGCAGTTTCTTGTTCAATCTTAATCGTGATTTTTTCGTCGATGCAATGCGGAAGGGTAACAAGATTCGATTCGCCAATCATTCAGTTAATCCAAATTATTATGGAGAAGTAGGTGTGTGTGGAATACTCTTTCAGTCTTATGTTTTAGCTTTCTTGTCTTTCCTTTCCTTTTATACAGTTTTACAGTGTATAGTTTTGCAAACGTTTTTGTCTTGGGTTAATCTCGGATGATCTGTCGAAATCCTCCGTCCTACCCGGATGGCGGATAGTGAGTGTATATTAGGTGCGTCTGTTGTTGTGTGGTGTTTGTTTGAGCCGTTGTTTGACTATGTATCTTATTCACTTGGAAAATAGAGCGGGGGAAAAGGAGAATCTGAGGATTTGATGGAGATGTCAGTTGCGCGCACACACACACACGCACACAGAATGCCTAACATGGTTCTTGGTGTGTTTTCGCATCCATGGTGTTTTCACTATCTGTGTATGATGGTTCCAACCATAGGTGGTGAGCTGCTTCCTGGTGTAATTCAGTTTCTACTTTCATACCTCATTATAAACGTTGATAATCAAATGAAAGGATGTGGTCGACAGTGAATGCCTTTGTGTGTGTGTGTGTGTGTAAAGAAAGCTTTGTGCACAATCTGTGCACATCTCCGTTGTGATACATACCTCTTATTGTCGATGTGATTTTCGCCGCATTTATGAAATTCACTGTCCACCATTAGATACACCAATGTTGTGTCCCATTTCGCTGAACAGTGGTCATTAGGTAGGTTTCCAGATGACGTATTTCGATATTTTTGTGTCAGTCAGTCAGTGTTGTTTGTTGATACTGGATAGTATTCAAATGAAAACTGTGATATCTTCGAATGACTGTAGATTGCATCCTGCAAAAGTTATTTCACTGAATGTGAATGTTAGCCATTGTAGAAGTTGGATCTTTCCTAGTAATAAATGTTGTGTTTTAGAATGTCCGTACTGTGAATTGTTGATGTTTTGACAGAAGTGTCTTTGAAAATCTACTTGTCCATGATATTCCGGTTATAATCCGTACTACATGATTGAAAAGTTTAGCTTGTTTACTCTACAGTAAATTTGACCGTTGGGGAAGAATGAAGTGTGACTGAAATCAGCTGTGTTTCAAACAATGGTCGCCTGGAAAAGTCAATTTTTTGAGTTGACACGTCACCGAATTAGATATTACTTTCGATAATAATATTGGCTCTCAGAAAACGATGTTGAGTGCGATAGGCAACTCGATTGAATAGCAGCAAATACGACTGTTCTCCAGAGATAACCTTCTGCTGTTCTGAGCCCACAAAGAATAACCGAAGACGAGAACAACAACAACAACGACTACAGCATTACTAGACAAGAAGTACATCGTATATGTGTAGATATACCACCGAAAAAGTAGTGTGATTTGTTGTATTAAGGTCGGGAATCATATACTTGCCAATGGAATTTGGTTAAAACTGCTGCACCCTTAATAGCCAATAGTTTTTAGCTGGTTTCAGCCTGTGGAATACAGTAACTTTTGACATCAAGCTAATTGTTTTGGGTACAGGAGTATATATATATATATATATATATATGTATAAAATGTGCATTCACTACAAGTGTTTGATGTGCCTTTGTGCCGAGATTGTTTATTTCACTCTTTCTTTCAAGTAGTCTTTCTCCCCAGAAATTATTTGATAGCATCCCACATATTTTGGTATTAACTGTTTAATCTTGCATATATGGTATGTTATCATTCTCACACATTTTGGTAGTGACTGTTAATCTTGTATATATGGTATATTATCATTCTCACACATTTTGGTAGTGACTGCTAATCTTGTATATATGGTATATTATCATTCTCACACATTTTGGTAGTGACTGCTAATCTTGTATATATGGTATATTATCATTCTCACACATTTTGGTAGTGACTGCTAATCTTGTATATATGGTATATTATCATTACCACACATTTTGTTATTGACTGTCAATCTAGCACATATGGTATATTATCATCTCTCACGCACTTTGTTATTGGCTATTAAGATAAATTATTTCAAATGCTGTTAGCTGTCCATATTGTTGTAAAATGTATAAATACCATGGCTTTCTTTGTCGTTGTTGCACTTCAATACACAGTCACAGTCCAGCCTTTGTCTTTTGATATTTGCGTGCTTTACTAAATCGGAAGGTACGACAAGCAGATAGGCAGATTAGTTCAGGCGCAGACAGAGCAAGGTGAAAACGTCTTCATTCAATTCCCTACCGTTATAACAAATTGTCGACGGGGTTTAGCGACGGGGTTTTACCTTAACTCATTGCAGTTATAGCAAGCAAACGACGACAGTTTTTATTCTGTTCAGCGCAGCTATATAACATTTTTGACTGTGTTAATTACAACCCAATTACAATGTCTATCTCTCTGGACGATCTCAAATCTATCTTGCAGCAGCAGCAGGTTCAGAATGAAGCAGCTCAACTAAAATTAATCGAAGCTCTCACTCAGAAGCTGTCCATTCAAGTTCCATCAACATCTCATTCTGACAAATATGAAAGCATCTCAAATTCCATCAGTGAGTTCAACTACGACCCAATATCTGGTCTCGTATTTGATGCATGGTTCAATCGTTACGAAGACGTCTTCCGTATTGAATGCTACATGTTTGATGATGCTGCCAAAGTCCGATTGTTACTAAGAAAACTTGGTACTGTTGAGCACAACAGATATGTTAACTTCATTCTGCCTAAGAACCCACGTGAGTTATCATTCGATGAGACAGTCACCGTTTTATCACAAATCTTTGGTGAACAGTCATCCATGTTTAATATTCGGTATCAATGTTTTCAGTTGACAAAAATGCCTTCCGATGATTATGTGACTTACGCTGGCAAAGTGAACAAGGAATGTGAAAGGTTCAAACCACACGAAATGACATCAGATCAGTTCAAGTGTTTGATTTTTATTTGTGGGTTGAAGAACCCAGAAGATACTGACATACGAACTCGACTTCTGTCACTCGTGGAACAAGACCCGAAAATGACTTTACAAATGGTGACAGCAGAATGCCTACGTTTAATCAACTTGAAGCACGATACTGCTATGGTGGAGTGCAAACGACAGTCGTCTGAATTTGGCTCAATTAACACAGTGAAAAGTCCTCCGATCACCGTTAAGCACACAGCACGTCAGTCTCAGAATTCAACTAAACCTCCTTCAGTGTGCTGGCACTGTGGTTCGTGGCATTTTGTCAAGTTCTGTCCTTTCAAGAAACATAAATGCCGTAATTGTCACCGTTTTGGACATAAGGAGGGTTACTGTACACCGCAGAAAAATTCTTCGGTGAGGAACAGAAGTAGTCGTTTCAAGCCGAAACAAACTCCTCGAGTACAGACCGTTTTCACTACTTCCAAAGTCGAGTTCGCCAGCAAACGTAAGTACATAACACTAGATATTAACGGCAAACGTATTCGTCTTCAGTTGGATACAGCATCAGATATCACCGTAATTTCCCGAACTACGTGGCGCAAACTTGGTTGCCCACAGATTCTGCCGACCGAGCATGTCGCCAAGAATGTCTCTGGAGATATACTGAAACTCGTGGGTGAGATAAATTGCCAGGTTCAGCTTGGTGAGCATCACTTCAATGGTGTATGTTACGTTACAAACTACCATGATTTGGATTTGCTTGGTCTTGACTGGTTAGACAAGCTCCATATCTTTAATGTACCATTAAATTCAGTATGCTCTAATGTTTCGTCTTCACCCCACAACGTTGTTCCCGGAGATGTATCTGATCAATCTCTCTTGCAACGCCGTCGTCAAAAGCACGCTTCTGTCTTCCAGGACAAACTTGGTTGCTGCAAACTGTTTGGCATCCAGCATATTCGTAGCCCCCCGTATCATCCCCAATCGAATGGACAGACTGAACGTTTCGTCGACACCTTTAAGCGTGCTTATGCAAAAGCGAAGGGGGAGGGAACAACAGAAGAAATTTTGGATAAATTCTTGCTGCATTATCGTACGAATGAGAAAGGACAGTTATGTGTCAGACACACAGATCACGCTCTATCCAGTACCACGCAAAGGTCAACTCGACAAAGAAGAGCTCCGAAACCTTTTCAAATAGATCCAAAAAGCAAGTCCTACACTCTTTACGGGGGAGGTGATAGGATCCCACATATTTTGGTATTAACTGTTTAATCTTGCATATATGGTATGTTATCATTCTCACACATTTTGGTAGTGACTGTTAATCTTGTATATATGGTATATTATCATTCTCACACATTTTGGTAGTGACTGCTAATCTTGTATATATGGTATATTATCATTCTCACACATTTTGGTAGTGACTGCTAATCTTGTATATATGGTATATTATCATCTCTCACGCACTTTGTTATTGGCTATTAAGATAAATTATTTCAAATGCTGTTAGCTGTCCATATTGTTGTAAAATGTATAAATACAATGGCTTTCTTTGTCGTTGTTGCACTTCAATACACAGTCACAGTCCAGCCTTTGTCTTTTGATATTTGCGTGCTTTACTAAATCGGAAGGTACGACAAGCAGATAGGCAGATTAGTTCAGGCGCAGACAGAGCAAGGTGAAAACGTCTTCATTCAATTCCCTACCGTTATAACATTATTCTTTCGTAGTGTGAATTTATTTAATAAAAGCACACAGTGATACAGTGTTATTCATATTTGAACCACAATTTATAATTACTGCCCATAGATAGTTCTCCTTGTGCATTTCCTGACTTGAAAGTAAAATTTGGTTCCCTGTGCTATTGAGTCTACATATGTGTGAGGGAACTGGTGATAGAATCAAAATATAGGAAAGAAAGAAAGAATTGTATGAAGAAGGTTTGAAAATTATGTGAGCGCCTTGATATGATTATGAGGAGTGGAGTGATGAATTCTGCTGGAAATGTCATATCATCAGTAAGTGAA